TTCAACAGTGTATGTCTTCACTTTGGAAACCTCATGTGCTTAATGAGTGACCGAGTGACTGTGTCTGTCATGGAAGCTGTGAGTGTGCGTCGAGGCTAAAACATTGCCGCATTCTCGAGATGCCATTAAGCTGCTTAGTGGAATTCAAGGTGCTAAAACCAGCGTAAGAAGTCCAGCCTGGTTGTCTGACTGCCACGAACATAAATACCACTGAGATAGTGGAGCTTTTTAAGCTTTGATCACTATAATTAATGAACTTCTATAAGGCGAAAATGATTTGCATTTTGCTCTTCCTTTCTATATTGTTGAAGGCTCTAGACGGTATGATCTCATGGCATGGTTTTTTAAAGCCCATTTTCTCTTAGCCTGTAGAGAAAAGCATGGACTGAGGTGAGAGTACTTATTGGCAGTCTGTTTCAATACATTTGATTTATGGATGGAGTACTAAGTGTGTGCACATAGATACATTTAGAAAACCTTAAGAAGAAAAGGAAAATTAAGTATCTTATTCAATGATAATGAATGTAAAAACAAAAGTAGATATGCATTGTAGATGCTGTGTAGAGGATTGACTAGTTTAACTTGATATTATTTATATTTCTTTAAATATTTTTTTTAGACTAATAATAAACACTTGGGAAGTATATATGGTTTGCTAACCATCACAATACAATACATGCAAGCATTTAATACTTGCTGTTTTTTCTAGTTTTAATATGTATTCAGAAAAATAGTGATACCACTTAGTAAATTAATGGCTTATTGAAAAAATTATTTTGATGGAAATATATTTAGTATTATTATTAAATTCACTATATTTAAGGGTATTTCAAGTTAAATTTGATGTGCCTTATTAAAAGAAATATTACCTTCAGTTGCACAATTTGAACAGTTCTAGACATTTCATGATTGTAGAACTAATCAGTCTTGCCTTGGTACCTTATTCGCATTCACGGGCTGGAAGAGGACTGTGTTTGGGCTGACGGCCAGATAGTTAACATCACAGTTGAATTCCTAAGTATAAGTTTAAAAACTGCCTCCGACATCCTTAGCTCTGCTGTTTTCTACTCCCTCCACTCCACTGAACAGCTCAGCCAAGGTATAGTTCTCATGGCAGTCCTTCCTCCTCTTCCAGCAGTTCAAACTTTTAGACCCAGAAGGATCCTCTCCTAAGTCTTGTCTCCACAGCCAGAGATTGTTGGAGCGTGTTCTGGGACAGCGCACCAGAGTTTTCTGGCTTTCTAAAACCAGAGTGAAGTAATTCCTGAAATTAAGAAAATACACGGATCAGGTTATTCAGTTGTCTCTGCCTCTCTGTCAGCACTTTGCACCTTGAAACAGTCATACGCTACAGTCGCAGAAGCCTCCAGCCAAGCAGACTTTCCCTCACATCACAGTAGCAAAATTTTGATCCTGGAAAAACTTGGTTTACCCTTAATTTTGCCCCTTGTATAGCCTGTTCTAACTTAAGTCAAATTCCTTTTCATTGGGTCTAAGTTTGACCTGGTTTAGTACATGCTTAAGTTGAATGTGGCTGCAGCTGTGGAAGCTGATGAACAAAAGAAGCAGAATCTGTTTAGTGACACTGGATTTAAATGTGCTACACACTAATATTTTACATCTCTCCTTTCTGTCCTCATCTAGGCTCATGGTATGAGCCAGCTGAGGTGTGGTTTTTCAAGCTCTAATGAGTAGGACAAGTTGGTATTGTGCTTGTACAGAATACATTCTGTTTGGTTCTTGCTGCTTTATTTCAAATTTTTTCAATGTTTAGTAGCTGGTTATAATTTTTTTTTTTCCCATTAACATAAAACTTGCCTAGACTGAGTTCTGTAGGCCACTCTTGTCCTTAAAGAATAACAGTGTAATCCAGGCTTGGGCACAGAATGGTACTGGCAGTAAAAATTGGAAGTCTCTAATAGGCTTGTGGCAGCTAATGATATGTAAATGTTGCAGCTGTCTCTTAGTCCAAAAAGTTTGGTGTTCACTGTTTTATAACTATGGTACCTGAAAATTAAAGTGAACCATAATTAAGAATTTTTAGAGTTCTGTGTTCCAGAGCATTTTGTTACGTTCTCCTTCCATTTACTTCTGTTATTGGAGGAAAATATAAACATATTGGTGCAGTGCATGTAATTTTTGAGGAGTTCTGTGGTAAAGCAAACCAGTATGCTCTTTTGGAGCGTAGGAACTGTAGGAGTAACAAAAGAACCAGCAGATCAAGATGCAGAGTCTAGATAAGATGGTGTCTTGGTAAGGAGTATAGGGTTGCAATTTCTAAATTTTGTTGTTTGTAGAATCTAGTCCTGTAAAATAAGTGCAAAAGCTGTACCTGGATACAACTTAACAAATATTCTGTAAAAACTGCTGGCTGTATAGTAAGAAACAAGTGCCTATGCAAATTATGAAAAACTCTGGTAAAGAGTATTTACTGTCAGTTTCAGTTGTGCAAATAATCTCATTGTACCTTTAAAGCCATTTCCCTTGTTATGGTACACTAAAACTATGTTTAGCAATATATTTATTTGTATTTACTTTCAGAGCATATAGTAAAACAGTTCAGCTCCTAGCCTCTTCCACACAGGATATTTAGATCTTTTTTGGGGGAGGGGAAAAAAAAAAAAAAAAACAGATAAAACAAGATTCAAAAACCCATTGCACCTAGATGCAGTATAAATGATATATAATGATGCCAGCTGAAATTGAAAATCCAATTGTTCTAGATGTTGTATGAACGCAGGCTGTGCCAGAAATTTGCACACTAAAGAGACAGCATGGGAAACGGGAAGTGTTACTGCTATTGTCTGCAGATAAGAAATTAGGGAAAAGGGAGATTAAAGCTAAGATTTTTTCCAAACTGACTGGATCTGTGTGTCCAGTTCAACTGACTGCTCAAAACTGAACAAAAACACTTTTTGTAGTACCTCAAATCAATAGTAGCTTCTGAAAGTCTTGGTTGATGTAGCTTTTCAGTGTGGTGGGGAAAGCTGATTAGCAAAGTACTTGCAGAAATTAAATTCAGTAGATGCAAGTAACTGAAGGAAACATGTTTTTCAATGAATAGTAAGAAAAATGCAGGGGGAAAAAGGGAAGAAATTGACTTAATGCTGTCTGGCATCAAGTCTTGGAAACAAGCTTCCATGCTCAAAAGCTTGAGATGTCAAAATAATGGCTCCCCAAAACATGCATTCTCTCTCTGGGGCCTTAAAACCTTTTATCTTTTTTGTGGAAATGCAGAAGGGAAATAAGATAAGAGCTAAAGATGGAATAGAAGATGGTTATATAGACAATTAAGTAGGTGTTGAAGCCTATCCATTGTGATGTTTTATGTGGCTTGAGTTTTGGAGGGGTGCGGTGCTGAGATTTTGGGGGATGATGTATAAAGAAAGTAATTCTTTTAGCTTGGTACTTCCTGTGGTAAAGGCTTGTTCTGTCATTTGTTTAGGTCTTAGTTTGAGATGCCAAAAAGCATGAAATAGTTCATTTCAGTCTTTCTGAGAGGAAGAGGAGCCCTTTTGTATCTTATCAGGAGTATCCTCGTGTTATACTTCTACTACAAATAAGAACAACTTATTGTAGGTCATATAAAGTCTTGGAAAGCAAGTACTTTGGCTCATCCTGCTTATTCTGAACCTAAACTGTTTCTCAGTGCATTTCTAACTGTGAATTGCAATGGTTATATAGTAATGTCTCTCCTAATAGAGCCCAAAATAAGAGTGCACCCTGGGGATACTTTCTTGCATGCAAATGATTAGAAGGAAGATGATGGAGGCAATCTTGATATAATTGATTAAAAGTGATATACTTGAAAGATTTGTAATCAAACATATATGTGATATGTACCAAACAGAACACTGATTTGTGTTTCCTGTTTTACCTTTAATATGTGTAATCTGATTGCTAGCTAAATTACGCCTTTGATTAATGGAAAAGCAATCAAGATTATCATAACTACCTGAAAGAACTTCTCATGGACTTTTTCAAGATAAAAGATATGGATGAATTAAGTCTTATGACACTGGAATGTTTTTAGTTCTAAAATTCCTCTTTCTGTGAAGTAATACAACTTCCTGTCTAAATTGCTTATGTTATCACTATAGTGGAAGTACCATGATGGGAGCAGCTTAACATTTGCTGTAAACTTTCCCAAATCATTCAGTACCCTAAAATTTGACCAGGCTGTAGGCTACTCCCATATATGTGTTCTTAGTGGCCATCAGTAGCAGTTTTGATATGGCTGTTGTATAAAGATGTAGGACAGGAGACCCCCAACATTGGTTGGTCTTTAAGCCAAGGAATGGAGTCTTAAAGGAATTTAACAAACTTAGTCTTACAGTGTAGGCTTTTTTCACCAAAAGAAAACTTACATGGAGTTTCTCTTAGCATTCATTGTAGTCCTACTGGAGTTAATGTTAAAAAGTAGTCCTTCATGGGCAGAAGTAGGTAGGAGACCTATTAGATTTCCTGAATAACCATTGGTGTACTATGTATTTTTGCAGTAGCTAATATGCATTATACATGCTTTCACAAAGGTAACTTTCTCTTCTTTTATGAACTCCTGAAAGAAAGAAATGTAAACTCTAAAAAGCTGTGTTCTGAAGGGTGATTGCTTAGTTGTAGTTAACTTGTAGCTTTCCTTTTTTAGATACACATTTGTCTTTGCTTTCTGTTCTCCCTGAACTGTTTCCATCAGTGCTTGCTACAGTCAAAGCAGGGTAGGTGAAATAGGTATCGGAGCAGAATCTGCCAGGTTTTCTTTCCTGTCGCTGGTTGGTTTTTTTTTTTTTCATAATCTTTGAAGTGTTAGTTTCGTGCTGAGGGGGCTTAAATAAGGGCTTTGATACAAGAACTCAAGTTCAATTAATGACCTCTAGTATCCTGGAACCTAGGTGTTCTTCTGACTGCATCAGATAAAATCATCAGTCTCTTTAAACTCTAGAAGACCTGACTTTTTTTAATACAGAAATTCTAATGACTTGATATTTTTCATTCAGGTGCCATATGAAACACTGAACAAACGGTTTCGAGCTGCACAGAAAAACATTGATCGAGAGACTAGCCACGTTACAATGGTTGTGGCAGAGCTGGAGAAGACACTGAGCAGCTGTCCTGCTGTGGATTCAGTTGTTAGCCTCCTGGATGGAGTAGTTGAAAAACTCAGTGTTCTGAAACGAAAGGTAAGTGCTGGTTTACCTTGTGATTGCTTTGTCTTTGCAAAAATTAACAGAAGTAGTTTTCTGCAATGCTGATTGCTTGAATTTTCTTTCAAGATACAGGTATTACTGGCACTGTAGACAAAGGCCTTAGAATGCACAGCAAAACACCAAAACTTACTGTATCTTGCTCCACTGTGCTTATGAAGCATGACTTGATTGATTTCTATCAATTCCTGCTTCTCCAGTGGACAGGTTTGTGCGATTGCATTAATTGATCATTTGAGGAGGGGAAAACAGGTAGAAGATGAGTCTGAAAAATGTTGAAACCCCAGTGGGGGTAGTTGTGTGCAATGTTGAGGCTTCTTTGCAGAAGAAAGTGCGAGTTGTCCTGGATTGTTACTTGAATGTTTTTTTATAAACACTAAAATTGCAGGTTGGAGGTCCCTAGGGAGTATTACTAAAAGCATTTTAAACAAAGTTTAGCAGGATAACCTGCTTCTCGCTGTTAAGCTTGAATGCTTGTATGAAATACAGCCAAATTTTCATGCCTTTACCACATCTTTCTAAGAAGAATGAGTTAAAAACATAGAGCATAAGCAATCCTTGTTTTGGATGGGAATATTACTCATTCTGAGACTCACCAGAACACTTACTTGAAACAAATGCTGCAGAAAAATTAAAATAGCTCTGTCTCCTGGCTTTAGAGCAGTGCTTCTCCAAAAAGAAATAGACAAAACAAACGGTAGCAGAGTCATTTCATTAAAACTTAAATGAAATAACCAACAGATATAAATCTTGAGACTATATTAAGTGAAGCGTCAAAATACCTTGGAGGTTCGTAACATGTAAATAATGCTGTCATGTATGTTGATTTTGGGGTTTTCTGCTTGAACAGGTTAGCTAGGTGTTGAAAAGCTGATCTGCAAAAGACTTCATAAATCTAATTGCTGTTTTCATCTTTGGTTTGTGAGACTTAGAGGTCTTAAAGAATATGGGTGTTTTTCACTTCTGTTACTTACAGAAAGAAATTACTGCTATTTCTGAAAGAGGTGTTAGATTTTGCTTGTAGGTGTGTAGTAATGATGTGGAGGAGTAAGTTATTTACTTGTTAAATCTTTGCTGACTGCGGGGGTGTGTCTGAAGGCATTGCTGAATGTTTTGGGTGCAAGGCTCCATTTTAGTGTAATTGCTCATTTGTTTTTGACTGCCTGAAAGACTGTGGGGAATCTTATAGCTGCTCAGAAAGAACAAAAGGCAAAAAAATCTGTTTAACAGTAAAAGTCTTCTGAAATACAAAGGTCTTGTTTCTGCTCCAAACCCTCAACTGCAGCTGTCTTCTCAGTAATCTCTGCCCCTAGCAAAATGATTGTTTTCTTTAGGGCCTTTGGACCCATGAGGGATCTCTGTTTCCTCCTGTGTTTAGACAAGGATCTGATGAACTGCTGAGATGGCCATGATAGAATTGGATGGTTCCTTTGTTTAACACCTTACTCACTCTTAAAAAAGAGCTTTGCAACACAGCAGGTTTCTTGGGTTCTTAGAATGATCCTGGGGAAACCTAGGCCTTTGTGTTTTCCCTTTTGTGTCCTGTTTAATATGCTTGTTCCTTCAAGTTCTATTAATGTCCAGCAGGGTGAGTCCAGATAGACTTGCTTCAGAGGGTTTTGGAAAGGATCTGTAGCCTTTCTGAATGCCCTGGAAGAATCAAAGAAACAGCAAGAGCTGTCTAAGTCCAGACACAAAACCATGTAAGGAGAGCCCTTTGATATGAGAAGGGCCTCAACCTTTGTGCCTGGCTGCCTTGAATTCTCCTAGTTGTATTCAGAATAATTCTTGAGGTTGCCTTCACATCTGATAATACTGCAGACACCTAACAAATGAGTTTTGGCTCCAGTTAGTGTTTGCTTGCTGAATAGGAAAAGACTCAGTTTATAACTTGAACAAAATACTGATCTCCAAACCATATGTTACAAAACAAAGCTAAATTCAGTAATAGAAGTAACTTGGACTTCAGTAATAAAAATAACTCAGGCTATAGATGTTTACATGAATTTCAGTAAAAGACTATGTTGTATAGTGATTAGGGTTTCAGATACTTGAATCTTGTATCAAGGGCCAGATCAGAGCCAGGCTTAATTGGGGCAAACGCTTGGTAGGCTTTTCTTGCACAAGTTTTCATTTATTTCACTTTGGTTTTCAAATATTGATCCTTCCAGAAGTCTGTAAATGAGCATATGTGGTAAAAGCAATTAGAACCAACCTGTGCTTCCAGAGCTGGAGCTGTTATCCGAGGATGATACTGTAGGCTGAGTAGCTTGAGTACTGGGAAGGTAGCCACCCGTGCCAGCATGGAGCGCAAAGCGGGCTGCCAAAGCCACCCACCACTACTTGGTCTGTGCTTGGCTGGCAAACCTGCATGGACATTCCTGTTGCCATAGCTGTGCAGTTATTCAAACACAAGCCAGTGAGTTTAAAGTCACAAGTAAGGCAACCCAACCTGGAATTGCATCACTAGTGATACATCACAGATGGGAAAGGTACTAAGCCTCCATCATCTGCTGGTTTGCTTTTGCCTTAGTAAGCATATAAAAGTACTGCAAGCTTTCTTGTGTTCTGTAGCCTGGCATGACCCACAACTGTCACGTTCTGTATACTGTCAGCTAGCTTTGAGTTATGATATGTCTGTAATAAAATTGCCTAGTTAAAATTTGCCACATAACTAGTCAGCCAAACAACTTTAAGATTGAAGGAAAATAAGTATGACCTGAGTGTTTTGGTTTTTAGCTGGAAAAAAAACCCCAACATTGTGGAGATATTTTGGGGGGTGTGTTTTGCACTTGGCGTGCCAGTATGTTGGCTTAAAAAAAAAAGTCATTCTGCTTCCTCTGGACAAATTTATTTTCCTAAGTAAGGCTCCTAATAGTAGATCCATGTTTCCAGAGTAGCAGAGGTAAGTATAAATAATACCAGTTTAACAAAGCTGATAATTTTTTTTTAAAAAAATTCCTCTAAGATCCTCAAATTAAAGGTGCCAAGAGGCCAAATGTTTATATAATTTTCTGACTGATTAAAATGGCTCCAGTGTATTAGAAGTAATGTGGGTTTACTCTGCATCGCTCCTCAGTAGAACTAATTCAGTAGGACAGCTGCTTGAGGAAGCCATGCCTAGGTTAGTGGTAGAAATTCATTATTTTCAACTGTTTGGACCAGACAACTGCAAGCCTTCATGAAGCTCTTTGCAGACTATTACAGCAGTTGCTGCTGTAGTTGATACGTTGCCATTTTTGGACTAACTGCACATTAAGCAGAAAAATGCATATACTCATAATGTTTGAATGTTATGTAAAAACTTATTTATATGCAAGAATATCTCAGAACTGGACCAGCCACGCTGAAACGTACTACGCACTGCCGTAGGAAATGTCTTTCTAAATGAAAGAAGCGCTCTTGGGAGTAAGTGTATAATATGTAAAGAATGCTTACAAACAATTCTTGCAGTATTTTGCTTTAAAAGGAAATTGAAAATGTATAGCTCTTACTTGTTCCTGTTAACTTTTACTTTTTAGGCAGTTGAATCAATCCAGGCTGAAGATGAAAGTGCAAAACTCTGCAAACGTAGGATTGAACATCTGAAAGAACATAGTAGTGACCAGCCAGCTGCTGCAAACATGTGGAAGAAGAAACGCATGGATCGTATGATGGTGGAACATCTTCTACGCTGTGGCTACTACAACACAGCTGTAAAACTAGCGAGACAAAGTGGTATTGAGGTTGGTAGCAATGTGCACTAACTTACTAACAAAACAGTAGTAAAGAGGAAGTTGGCAAATAAGAACAAGCTGGTTTAGCCCTGTAGCAGCTATTTTTATGTATTAGCATGTCTTTATTATTAATGTTTATCTGTTAATCTTTTTAGGCCCAAGTTTGATCTCTTTACTTGACAAAAATAGTATTTTAATGTATTAATTCAAAATTGAAGGCATAACTTTTAGTCACACATTAAATGCTTTTAGATAAACACCTTGCCCTATTAAAACTTAGAATAATTATCAAATGTTGTACAGAATTTCTTGTTAGAGGCCCTTAGGCTGCTGATTAAGCAGTTGGTGGAGCTTCCCATCTGCGTAGCCACACTTAGATGATATGTGTAGGTGACCAGACTGAGCAGAATAGCATATGCTAATTGCAGGAAAAACTGGTTTACTGAATCATCCTACTACTTAATGCATCAAGAGGAAAACTGGCTTATACTTTGGAAAAGAAATCTTGATATAATTTGGGGTCTTTAGTAGCCAGTATATCTTGCGTGGTCCATAGAAACCTTTTGCTGTCTTGCTTATTTTGCCATCTACAATTCTGTGGTTGTCACTTCCCTTTTCACTGGTGATCTAGTTGGTTTTGCTTCCATCTCATAATTTCTTACGAAGTGTTTGGAGTTTGTGTACCTTGGTGTAGCTTCTTTATGCAGAGCAATGAATCCACACTGTGGTCCTCTGACAGCCACAAGGACATTAAAACTGATTCTTTAAGAATTTGCTGTTTATGTAGAGAAGTCATGTTTTGCTAACTTTAGGTAGCATTTGCTATTTGATCATCAGTGATTCTTGAATTTTTAAGTTCTTTTGATATTCCTGATTCCAGAAAGTAAGCAACTGTCTTGGTGAAAATCTTTCTCCTATAAAGATGAAGATGCTGAGAGTTTAGGTGTATTATGTGACTTATGTACTTTGCCTTTCTTGGGTGACATAGGTGAACACATCTCCCTGAGCTAGTTGAGGGGAAGAGATTTTTGTTACCTGTGTCAAATTACAGCACACGTACCTGCTCTTTGTCTTGCACAACGAGCATATCTGTCACATCTCTGTTACTCCTTGGCTGCTTTACCAGTCTGATCCTGTTCAACCGGCAGTGATTTCAGTAAATACCAAAAAGGAAACAGCAAGTAGAGGCTGAATGGAAGGGAGAGGGGAAGAAGTGGGTTACAAACTATTAACAGGAAACAGTCCTGAAGAAATTCACTGAAGAGGCTACTATGCCTCACTAAAGATACCCCATGCATGTGAATCAAAAAAAGCCAAGACAATTATTCTGGGATAATTGTAGCTGAATGGTCAGCAGCTCTTCCACTCCTGGTAGATATTTCCCTCTGTTTTGAGCAGGAGCTCATCTCATGCTGAATCATCATGTTACCGTACTTACTAGGTCTGCTGAAAAAGCACTATGGAAATATTTTCACTTTCCTAGCAAGTTCTGTTATGCCTGATTAAGTAATGCTCAGCTTTGGTTTAGACATGAGCATGGAAGTTCATCATGATACACTGCAAGACTGTGTGGTACAAAGCATTGCACTTGTGAAGCCTTAAAGCTTTTCATTCTGTTTGCTGAATAGAAGCTTTTGTGTTTTTAAAAAAAAAAAAAATTAAATAAGCTTATTTAACTTCTGCCTTCAAGCCTAAGTATTTTTATTTGCATAACATCAAAGTAACTTGAATAACACAGAACTTAGTTGCACATGTTGAATGCACTGAGGCCATATTTCTTCTAGTTTGCTAAAATTATGCATTTTACTCAAACTAACGTTTACATTTTGGCTACATGTGGATAGGCTTCCCTCAGCCTCTCAACACTGTACTCAGTCTTTCTTGCTGTATGTTGATACTCATTGTGAATAGCTCTTATAACAGTAAGATACTGAGACTTAATCGTTATACAGAATTTGTGGTTTTGCTGGTTTAGTAAGACAACTTCTGGTTTTTTTGTTCCTTTCTTGCTAAAGGATATAAGCATCAAAACATTCTGTAATGTTTAATAATGTAACTTTGCTGTAGAGATTACAAAATGTCATGGTATTTGTCTTTCATCCAAAGTAATCTTTCTGTTTACTGTAGTCTCAACTGTAGTTTTGACAAATGTCTCCACCACTGCAGGCTTCAGAAGCACATTGCTGTATAGTGAACCTGGTCATGCCTCTTACCTGATTTTTTTTTTTGTGTTTGTTTTTTGACAATATTGTTACCACTGGGTAGGCACTATACCCTAAGCAGGAACCTGAAAAAAGGTGGGGTTTTTGCTCAACTTGTCCACAGCCAGAGGTGAGGCTGGGGGACAAGTGGAGCATAATCCAGCAATGCAATCTTGTGGCAAAGAGGACTCAGCAGCACTCTGGGTTGCGTTGGGATGAGCATCACCAGCAGGGGAAGGGTGGTGATCCAGCCCCTCTGCTCACACTGGTTAGGCCCATCTGGAGTGCTGTATCTAGTTCTGGGCTCTCCAGCAGCCATGCGGGGGTGTGGAGTCTCCCTGTATTTGGAGATATTCAAACCCAGATTGGACTGGGAAAGGTCCCGAGTGACCCATTGTAGGTGACCCTGTTTTCAGCAAGGGGACTACACAGCCTCCAGAGGTCCCAATCTCAACCATTCTGTGATTGTGTTTCCATGATTGCAGGCCAAATGGCTGAAAGTGCCCTTTGCTGCTATTTGAAAAGGCTGAAGGAAATGGCTCTTTCCATTTCAGTTGTAGCTTGTGGATCCCAGGTTCAGCATCTTTCAGTAGCTGTTAGACCAGTCTTGGGAGCATGTCTCAGCCTGCTTGTTTTAACTTCTTGTATGGCTTCTGAGTGCTAAGAGACCTGCAGAGCTGTTAAGGTACTTCATGGGTGGAAACAGTTAAGCAGCATTCTGTTTCAGTGACCAAAAGCAAACCATTAAATCATTTATATGTTTGCCAATAATACACAGCAGACAGTTTGCTCAAAGATCGACTCTGCACCATAGTGTCCAATTCTGATAGTTATTGGTGGGCTGTGAGGAATTCTAGTCTGTTTTCTAAATTAACTACCTTCATCATAGGAATGATATTCTTGAATTCTTGTCATGAAAGATAAGCGCTTAAAAGCTGTAGTTATAAACTAGGAAGCAAACAGCTATGAAAAGAAATGCTGGATGTGAAAAATGATAGGGAAGTTTAAATATCAAGAGTTATGAACTCAAGTTAGGAATAACTTCTGGCATGTAGAATATATGAAGCATAATGTTATATGACAATATAAGAAATGAACTACAAACATGTAACGTGTGTGATACGTCTTTAAAGAGAAGTAATGCTGCTTGGGAAAGTAAACCAAAATGTGAGTAATATTAAAATAAGAGCTGACAGTCAAGGACAGAAATGTCACATTTGTGCCAAAGTAAATATGGAGTAGAGGGGATTCTATTGTGGACTCTTTTTTTTTTTTTTTTTTTTTTTCCTTGATGTCTTCTAGCTCCCTAATGATGTGAAAAACAGTTTGGGTTGAAGATATAAACTAGATGTTAAGTTTTCGTTATTGCATACAAATGAAGCTCATCAGTATCAGCTTGTTACACTTAATGATCTTATTTTGACTCTATTATGACCTTGAAGTGTAACACCAATATAAAAATGCATATTTTCTTCTGCAGATTCATATACTCAGCTAGCTGGCAGGGCTGTCTGTTAACTTAAACTTTGCTATTCCATGTTGTGCCACATTAAATGCTGTCTTATTTCTGTGCCATTAATTGATAGGCAAATCTAGTTTCGGAAATGCGGTGTTCCAGTTGGAAGTTGGTTGCTGTTTGTAGATAAGTTTTATAATTAGGTGTCCTGGTTTCGGCTGGGATAGAGTTAATTTTCTTCCTAGTAGCTGGCTTAGTGCTGTGTTTTGCCTTTAGTATGAAAATAATGCTGATAACTAAAGCATCAGTGTGTTAAGCAGTGCTTACTCTAGTCAAGGACTTTTTCAGCTTCCCATGCTCTGCCAGGTGCAAAAGAAGCTGGGAGGGGGCACAGCCAGGACACTGCCCCAAACTGGCCCAAGGGCTGTTCCATACCATATGGCGCCATGCTCAGTATAGAAACTGGGGGAGTTGGCTGGGGGGCAGTGATCGCTGCTTGGGGACTGGTTGGGTGTCGGTCAGCGGGTGGTGAGTAATTGCATTGTGCATCACTTGCTTTGTATATTCTTTTATTCTTTTATTATTATTTTTTTCTTCCTCTGCTGTCCTGGGGAGGCAGGGGGTGAGCAAGTGGCTGTGTGGTGCTCAGCAGCCAACTGGGGTTAAACCATTACATTAAGTTAGGTATGTAATGCTTTGTTTGCTGTTCTTAGGGGTGGTTGTTTTTTAAGTATCATGCTTTTTCTAGCCCCTTTTTTAATAGGCTAGGAAGAAAAAAAACATGTAAAGTGTCTTTGTCCTTTGCTTAATTATGTAATAGCCATAGTGATTTTTGCCTGTGATTGAAAACAAACCTGGATTCTGAAGCTGCCAGTCTCTCTTAGAAGCTGTAAATCCTCTGTCTTTGCTTAGTTTTAGTAAAAGAATCATAGAATCGTTTAGGTTGGAAAAGACCTTCAAGATCATCCAGTCCAACCATTAACCTACACTACCAAGTCTACTCTAAGCCAATCAAGGGTAGACTAGACTAAACCATGTCCCAAAGTGCCACGTCTACCCGTTTTTTGAACACTTCCAGGGATGGGGACTCCACCACCTCTCTGGGCAGCCTGTTCCAATGCTTGAGCACCCTTTCCGTAAAGAAATTTTTCCTAATTTCCAACCTAAACCTCCCCTGGCGCAGCTTAAGCCCATTTCCTCTCGTCCTATCGCTAACTACATGGGAGAAGAGACCAACACCCACCTCACTACTCCATCCTTTCAGGTAGCTGTAGAGAGCGATAAGATCTCCCCTCAGCCTCCTCTTCTCCAGGCTAAAATGTACGTTCTTGCCTTAATGTCCATACTGTATA